TTAGTTCAACCTCTCTCCCTCGAGGTTCGTGTTCAGTGTCTGGTTCTCTATTCGGGAGGGTTCAGGTTTCCTCCCCAGATATATAAGGGGGTTTTTCCTGACGGGCAGCAGCAACACCTTTGTAACTTATACCAGCGATCATAGACCTGTCCTTCAGAGTTTGTTGTCAACATTGTCATTTTTTTTTGTTGTTGCTGCTTTTGCAGTATTTACGTGATTGTATGAATAAAAAGAGACTGATCCTTGCTTTATACTGGGCCTCTATCCAGCACAGCAGTCAGTGCTCCTATTTTACAATGAGTGATTCACTGTCCCGATTGTCTACCATTTCGAAAATAGGGAATAGTTAAAACATGAATTTGTAAACTGCAATTGGTGAGATTGACCATGAGCCTGTGCCAGAAATCCAATGCCTTCGTTCCAACCGTAGAGGATAACATCACTGAAACTCGCTAATATAAAATGCTGAGAGCTAGCGGTAAATTTTCTCTCGGTACAAATTACCTGAATTCATGCTTAGGTTTATTCAAAATTTGGCAATTTATTGCTCAATATCCAAGGGCCTAAAATATGCAGTGGCTGACAAGGAGGAAAAGGAAACGTCCATGCAATAATGGTGTTAAGTTTCACATATTTCAACACAGGCTCATAATGCCTAATCGAGTGGCTTATCAGATTGTTTACGTGATTCGTTTTATCTTGTTCGCTCACACAGCCAGCTGTAAAAATCATGATCATAAATTAATGTAACTGATTATCAGATAATTTCATTCTTCTTTACTTTTTATCACTTCCTTCCAATTATTTCTCCATTATTCTTGTTTATTAACCATTATTCATTTTTCATGATTCGCAGGCGCTGTCTTTGTCTTTGCCCAAGCGTCACCTTTCAGGATGATTGAGCTTGAAGATAGTCTCCCGCTTGCCCCAATCCCCATTCCGGTGGAAGTACAGTTTATCACACAGAGAGATGAGGTATATACTGGCAAGAAGAATCTCTCCTATCATGCTGCTCTCTGTGGGGGATGCAGTTTTGACGGCTTGAACGCTCACTTTGCAGTTAACTTGGTGAACAATCCCTGGGACAAAGATGAGGGAGATTACATCACTGTCTATGTCAGAGCAACGGATCCTACTGGCACGATCATTGCTTCGAATGAGGATGACATTCTTCCTGACTTCAACTTCACGTATTTCGCTAAGTAAGTACAATCCCACACTGACTAAAAATTATGTTATCCAATATTTGGGGGGTTATTATACTGCTACCTGCAACCAGGTAACTATGCGTGTGTGTGTGTGTGTGTGTGTGTTGAGATGATGGATGGACGGATGAATGATGGATGGATGAAGAGACAAATAAATGAATTGGCTGATTGATAGCTTAATTGGTTGGTTTATAAAGTGTTTTCCAATGTCAAACTTCATTTTTTGCCTTTGCTTTTGATAGCTCCATCAAGCTATGTGCGATGTGTTCCAATCCGAGAACCGACGTTCACGATCAATCAATTAAAGCAAATCATCTACCTTCTTCAACCTTTCCTTTTCCTTCTCTTAGTGGAAATCATTTGAACTGTTCTTAAGTTTTTCTCTTCTTTTTTTTTTCCTTCGTCAGGTACAAAGATTTGTTCTTTGACGTCATAACAGGCCCAGCTCCCTCCTTTTCGTTCACCCTTTCTCTGACATTTGATTACAAAGACAGAGTTTATCTCCCTCGACCCTGCGTTCCTCGTTGGCAAATGACTGCTGAGGAATACGCTGTAGCGAAGAATTACAGCAGTAAAGATGTAGATTCCGGTGAGTAATTTTGTATCATTATCTTTTCATGGAGAATTTCCTTTCCATATGGTGAATATTGTATTAAATAGTGCCTCTACTTAACGTGTTAAATCCTGTCGCTATTTTGAATGTTAGCGTGAGTCACGAGAATGGGTTGGGTATCAAAATTTACTGAGACAAATACCTTAGGTTCCAAAATACTAGCCTTGTTCAAAGCCTTGTTCGCGAGAGCCGTTTAACCTTAATGAGCGCACTAACCTGTCTTTTCGAAACGATTTTAAAAGAAAGAAAGGTTTTAAGCCATGTTTTATTTTAATCATTCCACAGCATACGACCTTATACCAATTTTCAAAAGCGCCTCGACTCAAAGCGTCCTTACAAGGAACAAGAAATTGTACAGGCTTGATTACTGCTTTGGTCCAAGTCATCACTACAACGTCACCATCACAGTCATTGCTAATGATCAGCAGTCAGGCTTTGCCACATATGTCTGTAGCAAGACTTACGTTGCCAAAAAAGGAACCTGCGACGTCCTGACCCCGAATTTCGACATATCTGGCGGAGCAGTAAATGTTGTGCGCATAGGACTGGATGGACCGCAGGATTATGGACCGATAACAGTCCGTGTGCGTGGTGATGGACGATATGGCCTGAGTAACAACTTTACTCTTGCTGGATCGGCTCCTTACACGATCTTCTAAACTGTCTTAAGTCTGTCTGTCTAAGACTTAAGACTTTTTTTTTCTTTCCTTTCCTTTCTTGTTTTGTTTTCTTTGTTATTAGTCAGTTTGCTCTGTTTTCGCTTTAGTCTTTTTGTTCAAAGGTACTCGGTTAACACAATTTGAGTTATTATTTCCGACATTTCCCTTGAATGATATCACGAAATTTAGCTTATTAGATCTCTGTAGAAAAACGCGAAAGAAGTAATCTTAAATCAAGCTTGGAAAAGATGATTAAAGAACGGTCCTCTGTCTTTCGATGTTTAGCGTTCCTATAACTAAGAAGATTTTAACCGATTTCTCTTTTTTCTCGCGTATATCCTACACATCAGTCGTCATTTTTCGCAAGCTCAGGCGAATACAGGCAGCCGCTCCCTCCGTGCGAGAGGCGAGTCACGCGCGCCTCTCACGCGTGAATCGATTCCCGTGCTTCCTCTATGTGACTTCCACTCGTCCGCCAAACATTTTATGCGTTTTTTCAGCGCAGAGCGTGGGGACAGCTGTTTTCACTGGGTGTCGTAACTTTCCGTTGCTTACATGGTGTCTACAAGCGTTGCAAGTTTGGAGACTTCCCACTTTCAATTAGCTGTGGTATGTTTTCCATCCTTAGCTTGCGAATTACATGAAGCAAACAAAGGTACCCCTCCCCCCTACTTTTCCAAGACTTCCTTTTATTTATTTCTCTTTTTGTCCCCTGTTAAGTGGCTTGGAAGCAGCAACTGAAAGAATAATAATATTGAAATACAAAACAAAACAAAACAAAAAACAAAAACAAAATGAAAGACAAAATCTTGTTAACACTCTTTTTAAAATCTCGCCTCATCACAGATCGTTATGCAAATTTACACCACCTTCGTTTGCATTGTCATCTCTGCAGCTTGAGTTTGCACGTGCAAATCTTTCACTTATTTGCATTTCAGTTTCCCTCTCGAGTCCATCTATTTCTTTAGTCGAAAGGAGGAAAAAAATACGTCTAAAATCTCGTCCATCTATCAAGTCTAACGTCCAAACTCAGCGCTTAGCTGCATCGAAAAGCTGCCCGCGCTGAACATATACACATGAACTGATTGCTCTAAAATGGAACGCACGGTTTGAGTTAGAATTAGTTTGTCGGTTATTATTTCTCGCACTTTCCTTAAGTGGAAGTGCTTAGAGCTGTTTTCGACTTGCGATGCAAATATCAAATCGTTCCTCTGACGAAGCAAGCGGCAAACTCCTCAAGAAAGAAAAAAAAATCTGCACTCAATCCTTGTAGCATACATTATAACACAAGATATGCTGTAAGTTAAGAGTCGCGTTTCTCCAATTCAGTACGCGGCTACACCTGTGTTAGAGAAAATAAAAATCAGTCGATCAATCAAAAAAATGAGACTGAGGAGCTTGTAACCAAGCCTAGCAAAAAGGGTTTAAGGGTACATTTAAGTACCTTAATTTGGCAATTATTAACCATAATGACATTAGTCTCATTTTTCAGTATGGTGCATTGTTTCCTTGACCCTCTCGCAGACGTGATTAACATGTAACTTCTCCCAACAATATCAATACATTATCCAGCAAACAGGTAATGAGAATACTCAAAGTTGTTTATTTAATCTTTTACAAAATACTCATAGCTAATTTACAAGAGAATGTTTGGCAGCTAGAGGGGAGAATTAACAATCAAATCTTAGGACTTTACTGGTTAAACCCCTCTCTCAAGTTTCTCTCCTTTGTTTAAAGAAAAAAAAAACAAAATAAACAAATAAAAAAATTCAGCAAACAAACCAAATAAAAACAAACACACATACAACCACAATCAAAACCAAAAGAAAATAAAAAGACAAAAAAAAACCAAAATAGATTAAGGTGCTTCAAAAGAGAAATTTCACAAGTAGATAACTTATCACAATATAGAAAAGATATCATGATTATTTTAATTATTCTAGAGAGTGACAAAAGCTAAGCAGCTTGGGGTTTAAAAGCAAGACCCCACTGGCAAAATGTGCAACTAACTGAGGGTAATAACCCTGTAAACAATATTAGTATATACCACATACCCTGTAGGTGTAGTGCCTTTCACATGCACTGATTTGCTGGTTTGGAAGTGAATAACAAGTGCTATTCACCTCCCAGAAGGCAAAGGGCCATACATTGTGCATCAATGATTTAATATCCAACCATTTTTTAAAGAAATGTTCTTATTTGTAAACTAATTTTTTTGGTATTTGTATGGTACTGATATTCTAAAACAATTATATTCGCCTCAGTGTTGGTGAAAGCGGTGGATATTTACCATACCACTTCCCAGCTCAGTAAATATCCACCACTATTCACCTCCACTTCCATATATGACTTTAGTTATTGACATCAACGTGATGGTAAATTTGTCAATTTTTAGTATCCATGTAAATTGCAATGAAGTAATTTTTTTGCATTCATCAACTTCATAGTAAAGTATATTTAAAGTTTCAATATTAGACTGAAAGTATGATAGAAACACAAACCTTGATTTTTAAATATATATCAATCTGTGCTAAGGTAAGAATACTAAAGGTTACTACAATCTGATAAATGTTTTTCTTTTCATGTTTTTTGTCCTTTTGGTTTGCTACTGATGCTAGAGTGACTAGCATCTAATTTCTCCTTACAATGTCAGTCCCAAATCACACATTAAAGTTAGTGAGAATAAAGGGAATGGTCACCAACCAAAGAAGCTCTGGATTATGAAACAAATTCTCCTCATCAGCATCTTAGGGAATGTGTAGGGAACAGTATGGAGAATATGCATACTGATGTTAGGGTGGAAAGGGTTAATATCTGAATCCTATTTCTGTGAAACACTCCAGAATGTTCATGCTGTAAAGTCCAAGCTACAGAATTTGAATTGGTCACTAAAGTGGCTAGTTCAAGGTATGTGTATGTAAAAAAAAAAAAAAAAAAAAAAAAATTATATATTATATATATATATACAACATTAATATTAGCATTCAAGAAAACAAAGCAGAGTGCAGTGCAGCTCATCTGGTCCATTAAATTATTCAAGGCCTGTGTTTTTCTTGCCTATCAGAGAGAAACTGCACAATTGCATAGACACAATCATTTCCATGTTGTAGTAATCTTGATAGTTTTCTCAAATGCTTGTTCTGTAATAGCTCTGTCAAGTCACTCTTTAAGATTTCGTCAATTCTTTCCATGATAAATTGCAATCGGCTCATGTGTTGCCTTACATCTTTAGATGTGGACTTTGACAAAATGGCCATCTTTGCTGCACCTTCGAGTGTCAAGTGGGAGTAAAACTTGAATTCAGTTGCACTCCTTAGTACATTTTTGCAACCACAAATTTGCAGAATCTTTTCCACAATTTCACCAAATGCGAAGATAGGTGAGCTGTTCAGACTCTCATAGGATTTTACAATCTTGTCAACATTTCGCAGTTGCTTTCTTTGATGTGACATAGCTTTGCTTGATCGTGCCATCTTGTTTTTGAGATATATTGAAAAGTATTCTGCAAAATGAGTACTGCTTGAGCTGATAAGGTCCAACTCCACTTCCTTTGACTGCACCTTTTGCTTGCATTCTCCCTGATGTTTGCTCATGGGGGTTAGACACTCCCAGCAGAAAGCTGTCTGACACATGATACAGTACATAAAACTACAGCCAAGGTGTTTTTCTATTGGATAGTAGCAGTTTGGACAATTTCGCACCATGACTGAAGTTATGAGATCCTCTTTCTTCTGCTCGATTTCTGCATGAATATGTTTGGTGAGTTCCTGGAATTTCACTTCACCTGCACATGAAGCTGGCCAATGTGCATTTCTACCACACTGGAAACACCATAGCCCTCCACAAGAACAAGCTACAGAAACTGGGCTGCTTCTATTGGCCATGGCACCAGATATAGAGACCTTAAAAATTTTCACACACTTGCTGGAGGGACACCACCTCAATTCTGAACTGGATTCTATGACTTTGTCAATTTTCTGCGACAGGAACTTGTCATACCAGGTAGGCACTAAAGCTATAATAGTGGCCTTGTCAACGCAGACATCGCACTTATGTCCAGGACACTGCAGGTCTGTGTTCCCCAAGCTGATCTGCGTCTTCAGGTGGACTTCCCAGCATTGATTGCAGAAGGTATGTTGGCAGTGTTTTAGAGTGGTAAAGGGAGTCAAAAGTTCACTCTCTGTGGGGAAACAAAATTTGTTTAACTAAATATAAATTTGATATTAACTTACAAACAACATGATCATGAGGGTTACAGTACATAATTTTTGCACAACATTGAAAATTTTTGTGTATTACTCATAAGAATAAAATGAAATTGTATTAATGCCAGTAACCACACCACTGTATTGTGAGCAGCAGATAGTGATGGAGAAAAATGGTGCATACAAAACACAGTCTATGTTATGTAAAGTCAATTATTCTCCTTTGCTTTAGCTCTTAAAGTCCCAAGATCTGATTGTTAATTCTCCTCTCTAGCTGCTACACATTTGCATGGAAATTAGATCAAGATAACAACTTCTACCTGTAAATTTGTGTATTCTCACAAACTGTTTTCTAGGAAAAGTTAATGGATATTGTAATGAGAAGCTACACGTTTATCACCACTGGTAGTAAGAGTGTTATAATATTTTTCACATCAGTTTTTAATTTTCTTTTATTTATATTTTGAACGTGATTATAAAGAATAAGGGAAGGGACGATAAAAACCTAAAAACTGTTTTGAAATTTATTGAAATTTGTTGAAATTTGAATCAAAACATACATTTGTATCAAACATTTCAGTACAAAATAAGAATAATATAGAATGTAAGCCTTTCCAACTTTTAAACCTCCTTAACCCTTAACACCCAAACATCAGTATCTGTATTCCTTATACTAATCTCTACACATTTCCTTTGGTACTGACAAAGAGAATTAACTTAATAATCAAAGTTTCTTAAGTTGGCCATCATTTTCTTTATTGCCATGATCTAAATGAATGATTCAGCAGTATTGCTGACTAAGGAGAAATTAGATGCTGGTCACTCTTTTGGTTTTAAGGGTTAAATCATTTTAATTTACATATAGACCAGTTCATGACCAGGTAATTTCAGTTTTAAAGTTCACTTGAACCAGATTAGTTTACATCAGTGTATATGCAGTTTGTTTAAGAAATAAACATGTAATGTGTACATTAAAAATTAAGCCTGGATATAGGACTAGTTGGGAAAAAGGAACCAGGTAAGCATTATAACTTAAGCAAAAGCCTGTAGAGCTGCAAGGAACTTGTCATTTTTACATATTGACTTAAATTTTAATACTTGAAAAACCTTACCCAATTCCAAGTAGCATATACCACAAAAGTTGTCTAGTGGTTCTGCAGTTCCAGCATCATCTATTCCATGGCCCATCAGAACACTCATGCTGAGCAGATCTCTTTTCTTGATTTTTGCTCTTAGTTCAGATTTTATTTCTCTTTGCGAGAATATCTCTGATTTCCATCCAAACATGGAACCAAGCACATTGGTAGAATTCCATGTTTTTGCGTGGTTGTGGGAGTCTTGCATAGAAGATGGCAAAGACTGGTAACAGTATTGCAAGCAACGAGCTGCACAATTAACTACATCGCACACTCTCCAAAAGTCTTTCTTCTCACTTTCCAATTCCATGAAGAAGTTAGTGATTGCATTGCAAAGATCACCAGAGAGGTCCGGAGTATTTGTGGCATGCAAACTAACATCTGCTGTAGCACAGTTCATTTCACAGTTCAGCTGGCTGGTCACTTCAAACAATACACAGCAGGATTCATTGGTAAAGCTACCACTAGGAGAAAGAAGAGGAATTAGGTCAATTGTGAACTTCCTAGGCAAGCTGCCTCCTTCCAAATACAAGTCTTTCCAGTCCATGATGAGCTTCCCAGGCTCCAAGTCACAAACCAATACTTGCAAAGGAGCTGCCAGCTTCTTCTCTGATGGAGGAATCATTAGAGGGACAGTGGTTGGATTCTGGGATGTGTTCAAGCTTGGCTCAGGATCAATGAAAACAACACTCTTCTTCCCATACCTAAAACACTGAGTCACTGATTCATCTTCACTATGTCTTGGTTTTGCCTTCTGTTGTTTTTTCTTTAATGGGTGTCTAGAAAGTTCACTGATGTAAGAACCAATATCAAACCCATTACTATTCCTAGAGAATGTCTCTCTGGGGGTCTTCCAGCCACTAAACCACTCTGCATCCATTACACTAATTTTACTCTCAGAGGCTTTATGTGATGAGTATGTCTGACAGCGTTCACCTTTACAAACTTCTTCATTCCTGAGCTCTCTGTCAGAACAAAGACCCCACCGGCAACCCTTGTTTTTCACGCCTTTGTTCTTGCATCGTGATTTGCGTGGATTTCTGAGAGAATACTGAAAAGACCAACGATAATTTGTCGGGGATCCTTCGCTGCATTCAGGGTATTCGTTGCTAGGATACCAGTAGGACAGCTCATAACCAATTTCAGGTTCCAACTCGGTTGAGTCACTCTTCTTCAGTAAATCTTGCACACGAGTGTATTTGCGTTTTTGAGGAGTATACACTTCGTTTTCTCTGACTTTGTGGACAGAGATACAATCTGCGTCGACCTTTTGTCGCATCCGTCGACGTATAATAGCAACGCTGGGCCTAAACAAAGCATCAGTTGTGTCTTGTCCACTAGCTTCATCTGACTGTTGAGATAACAGCCATCGTTTTCGCTTTTTTAAGGAGTACATAACGCTAGACATATGTACTCCGCTTCCAGCACGCAGATGCCGAGTGGACGAGAGAGTGAAATCACCAAGGCCATCCTCTATATCGTTTTCCTCAAGGAACTGTTTGAGTTCATCGTCAGACATGTTCTCTGTTGCTCTTGTAAACTTGAGTAAAACTTCCGGTTCGTGGCCACGAAAACGAGAAAAAGGATGGCGAACAGTTCGTCCCGTTTTGACACCATATTTCCCTCTCTCTTTCCAAACCATGGCTTTTTATGTGTCACACGGTGGATCACGGAATAATTCCGAAAGATTGCATAGTATTGTACAGCTCCAAAGCCGTTTTTATAACCAACCTCGACCGCCATGTTGGATTTCTTGTTGTGGTGCAATAAGCGTTTTGATTGGACACCAAGCTTTGATATTCTTAGCAGCAATTAAGACAATCAAAGTGAATCTACGTAATGTATAATGACGTCATAAAATCACTTCATCCCGTCATAAAATCACTTTGCATCCGTCATTAAGAAAACAGGACACAACTTTAAAGCAGGTTTTCAGAAGAATAATGCCTTTTACTATCTTCTTGTTTTTTACTTTGCACGATATAAAGATAGTAGCCGTCAAATCTACCTCGTTACTCATCGCCAATTATATTTAGCCGGCAGAAAAAAATTTAGTGGGTAACAGGAGCCGCTCCTGTGGGAAACTGATCCCTTTCGAGGCGAGACTAAACACTATAGTTATATTCCACGATGATTCTTGACACTTTATTAATTCTCTAAAAAAAAATTTGGCATTGAAACCATTTTTTAACAATCTCATTATCTTCTTATTTTTGGAAACCTCTACTCATACGATCAAACTGCTTATTTGCCTTCTTAAAACTTTTCTGAAACACTCGAGTGATACTAGATTTCATTCTTTCCCAAATATAAGCTTTTCTAACATTTATCACAATGCTTATGTTATTTACAATAATGACTTACGTGTAACACAAAAGCAACTGGAAAAAAAAAATACAAAATTAAAAAACTAACATTACCTTTATCGCTAACCTTATTAAAAACACCAACTTTGCTTAATTTTTATTTTGATTGTTTTTTCTTTTCTTCTGTAGCAATACTAATCCCCCCCCCCCCCAAAAAAAAAAATGTTTTGTTCGTACGTTTTTGAAAAACATGACCTTAAAACTACCCAAAATACCATTCGGGGTGGTCGCGTTCACTTTTGTGCTTTTTTTGGGGCAACTTTTCTGCAAACTGCAGTATGCATTCCTGTTTTAGCAGGTCATCCAGCTCAAGGAGCAGCGAATTCCTTGTTTTTATTGCTTTTGTTTTGGAAATATTTTCTTTTTTTTTCCTCGACAAAATTACTGTACAAGACGTTACATACGCACGTCACTTACCACTACACCAACATAAAAAAAAAAAAACTGAATATCTCAGAAAATTTCTAATACTAACATATCCTTTTTTGTTTTGAAAATGAAGATTCCCGAACGTCTGAGGTGAAAGCACAGGGTTGCTTGGCATGTACCAGACCCTTCAAATCCCAATACTCGAATTTTTTCGTTTTACGGTTTATGAGCAGGAATTTCGTTTCAGGCCGGAGGCTGGACGCAACTTCCGGTTGTTTGACATGTAACGTCCGGTAGTTTACACACGAAATAATAATTTTTTTAATGTGTGAAAATTGTTTTTTCCATTGATTAAACAAAGAAGGACTTGATCCTTATTTTACTCACTTAGTTATGTAATGCCTACAATCGAAAAAAAAGAGGTAATTCCTATCAGACACATGTATAACAAAATCATTATTCATCATTCTCCATCCCTTCCCCCTCCCTGCCAGCTCTAACTGACCAGACAAGTTCGCCGACAACTGACCCTGACCTTTGATCAGAGAGCATCTTTCCGAATTAGTCCTTATCACATTTCATTTGTACATCATCTCAGGGAGCACAGGAAATTGCATTTTAGAGAGTCCAATTTTACAAATTTCTCGGGACATGCCCCCGGACCCCCTCAAAAGTTCGTGCCTCCGGCACTCAACGTTCGCGCCAGTGGCGCGAACAGTGCACATCCGCCAGCTGAACTACTGCATTTGTACTTCCAAATGCTACTGTTAACCCTGTGTATTAGTTTAAAAGGTCCAAGCTAGACATTCTGCTGTTATTTTGCAAAAAAAATTAACACTTTTCTCTCAGCAATACCAGTTCCAAAAAGGTCTTATTCCCCTTGCTGTTGCTTTGCACTATTAATGATTACGTGCTGACAGAAACAATTATTTTGCTTATTATTTCAACAACTGTCTTTATTGTTGTTATCTCATACGTTTGTTTACATTTCGTTTATTATCGGCGGTCTGAATAGCATGGCCTTGTGTGACTGGGGCAGTTTTATGTCAATATGTGTTGATAAAGTAATGAATAGTTTTTTCCTTTTTTGGTCAATTTAGCACAAATATTTCAATCCTCATACAAGGATGACGGGTAAACGTGACAGGATAAAACCGAATGTATCTGGCCTTGAAGTCAGTATTGAGTGGATGCTTCACAATGCTGTTTCTGTCTGAATTTCCTTGGAAGACCTAAAAACAAAAGTAATTTTAAATAATGCGAGTTTTAGAGCACAGTGTCTGCAGCAAACAAAGTGAAGGTGCTTGGTTGGGGAGGGGATGTTAAGAATCATGGACTCCGAGTGCTGAGTATAAAAGGCGAAAAAGCATTTGAGCTGTGATTGCATGTTCCTTTCTTTTTCTGAAATACTCCAGTTATAAATTGAATAAGTCAGAGTGGACGAAACGGAAGTGATGGTAAAAATGTCCAAGGATACTACCTTTAGGTGAAAGTTGTTCCACCGAAAAATTCTCGCCTGAACTGGACGCTTGCCGAGGGCAATTTAAACCATCCGTACAATAGTACCGATTTTTTACTATAAAAATTAACGGTAAAATACGACGTTTCGACCAAAATTCTGTCATTTTCCAGTGAGTGCATGGTAAGAATGTAACGATGAATATATCTATAGGCGTGTAAGAAGTGTAAAAAATTGTTGAAAGTGTAAACGGACAATAAGAACATACAAGGAGAAGAAATAATTAGAAACTAATTTAAAACAAATAAAAATTAAAAACAATTAAAAACTTAATTAAAAACCTTCGCACGAAATGAGTCCGATTGCACATTGAGAGCAGGTCTCAGTTCTTGAATAAAAACATTTCATAAAGTAGGCAGTCAAATTTGTTCGTGCACTTCTTTAAAACGCTAAAATTCTTCGTAAGATCCCCTGGGGCCAAAGAATGCTTGTCACGAAAATGCTTGCCAATGCAAGAAGTCGAGCTTCTGTGTTCTTGAACACGTTGGCGCAGATGGCGGCGTGTGAAACCAACATAACCTGCATCGCACTGGTCACACTTAAATTTATAAACAAGGTACTGTTGGTTCACAACCGGTGGCTTCGCTTCTCGTAACTTGAGATCTTGTTCGATCTTCTGGCTGACAAATACCGGCTGTACGTTCGTATGGATCTTCTGACTCAAATCTTTGAGTTGAACGCGTACAATATTGGCTAAGGCCTGATCTTTAATCGGTAGGAAAACACGAATGGGGTCTGTTCGATCGCTGACAGTCAGTGAGGAAACAGGTTGATCCGAAGCTTCAGCGGTAATAAAACATGAAAAAGTAGAGTTCGCAAGTTTGTCAGGATATTTTAGTCAAGAAAACAATAATTTTAGTCGATCACATTCTTCAGAGAAGTAAGACCAATTGGATAAAAGCCGAAATGTATGATCGAGCATAATTCTTAGTAACCCGCGTTTGTATCGGTCGTCTACATGGCTCTTGCAATGCAGCAGGAGGCCAGTATTGGTGGGTTTAACGTGTTCTTTGGTCTCAACATATGTGTGTTTGTTGAGCAGCTGGGTGCCCAAAAAAAACTCTCCGTCTCCATGGTAAATTTAATAGAGGAATGGCACTGGTTTAAAATCTCGAGGAAATTGACTGCTGATGTTTTGTCTGGCATGATAGTCAGTGTGTCATCCACATATCTCTTGTGGTATGTGGGCATCTTACCTTCACGCTTCAAGGTATCCTCAATGCTACACATGAAAAAGTTGGCTAATAGAGGACCAAGGGGGGAGCCCATAGCAACTCCATCTGTTTGTTCATGTAAATGGCTGTTAAACAAGAAAAGCTGGTCCTTTGTCGCCGCTCTACGAAGATCCACAAGGCCAGGTTATTTCTTCTCCTTATATGTTCTTATTGTCCGTTTACACTTTCAAAATTTTTTTACACTTTGGACAGGTGTAGTTTATAGCTAGTGGTCTAGGCAAATCCGTTAAACACAAGCTCATAATCTCCGACGACATTCTCTGCTGCAGTAGCCAATGAAAATAAGTGTCCAAATTCATTATCTAAGTGTATGTCTGTTCGCTAATTATTTGCATTGACTTCAAACTCCTAATTCCTGAAAACGTCAATTACGTACAGTTCTCTCCATACCTTTTCAATATTCCTTTCTCTGTAAGTGTTCCAAGTTATACCGTTTGGAGATAATTGCAGTTTGTAGCTGGTGGTCCATGCAGAGCTCCCTAGTAGTCCTTGTGTAGCCACACCACAAAGAAAACGCACTTCACCCATATCAACTTGAAGATAGTCTGTTCTGTCAGATATAGTTTTAGTGCACCACCCTCCATTTCCACTGCTTTCATTGAGTCGGCCGTAGTAAGGAAGAAGTCTACCATTATAAAAACTGCTCGCTGTCATTCTAGCGTCTGGTATTCTGTTCCTGTCCACGACACCAATAGGCTCGCACACTAAGTAAAAACAGGTGACACAATCATTCTAGCTTTTTTATTCCATCTTAAGGCCTCGCATCCGCAATAAAATTTCCAATACAATTATTAGAGACCTTAGATATTACGTATTAAGTCAGCTGGTGTTTATGAAGAAAGAGTGAGGAACTTCCTTACAATGGATTGAAGAGGAAGAGGGAAGCAGAGCTATTTAGGAACTTTTTATACATTGCAGTCAGTTTACGACTGCAATGTTAGAAAGTTCTAATACACGTTTCAATGCAGTAAACAAAAACAACTGGTTATTGGAGAGTGTTCTCACATGATTATGAATGATTTGTTTTGCCCTGTCTCTCATTTTATCCTCGTTTATGATTTTTTTTTCATCAGTCAGGTAGGAAAAACTTAGTGGATCCAGCTGATTGATGTCTCTATTTTCTTTTGCATGCAATTCTTTATGATGATTAATAGATAACCCTTCACTTGACTCTGATTATGAATTCCGCTTGAAACGAAATCTTATTTGGATATTCAGTCACTGTCACCTGTCATATTCAGCTTTCTAGATTTACTTTACTTAATGTGGAGAAAAATAGATCACTGCCCAATGAATAATTACCGAGGTAAACCACTCCTTACCTTTCCTAAGGGTCAGTTGCATTAAAGAAGACGTTTTGAACAGTTGCGCTGATGTGGCTGTACAGATATATCTGCCCAAGTCTTCATCTTTAATATTCCATATCTGAAGTGTTCCATCCACACTGACTTGTGATCTTCCAACTGGCAAGTCGCCATTCTCTTTAACCCACGTGATTATTGGTCGAGGGTCACCAGCGGCCTGACAAGGAACTGAAACATTTTTGTCTTTTTCTACATCAAGCTTTGCAGGTGGATTGACTGTGAAACGGGGCAGATCCAAGACAACAAGATTTGTCAAAGCTGAGTCATGGCCCAGAATATTGGAGGCTTTACATTCGTACAAACCAGAATCTCTCTTTTGAGCACTGATAATTGACAACTGTCCGTCTTTCACAACAGTTCTGGAATGCGCAAGTTTACCACGCACTCTAGACCACGTGATGGTGGCTGGAGGAAAACTGCTCATGTGACATTTTGGTAAAGTGACATTCTTGCCTTTTTCAGAATAAGTCGGGCCAAGGGAGAGTGAGATCTTAGGTTTATCTGTAAGATGTTTGGGAAAATCATTACACATATTGTAAATAACAGCCATTGCATCCGTGGTTCTTATACAAAGACATGGCTCATCTTTAGAGCCATAATTACCTTCGCCTCAAATTTTCGTTCAAAACAACATTCAGCTCTCAGATGTTCTTGCCTTTTTCAAAATACGTGGGGCTAGGGGAGAGTGAGATTTTCGGTTTATCTGTAAGATGTTTAGGATATCATTACACATATTGTAAATAACAGCCATTTCATCCATGGGTCTCGTACAAAGGCGAGGCTCATCTTTAGAACTAAAAATTCCTTCGACTCAAATTGTCGCTCAAAACAACAATCAGATTTTTTTTTTTTGGTTTGCGTATTACGGTGGAATCCTATTTTCACGGGACATCCTCGGAACCAGAAAAAGTGTCTCTTTTATCAGTCAGGACATGTGTAGGGCCGTGTGCATGACTCGAGCCAAATATTTTCCCGTCCAGCCCTCCCACTCAATCAAAAAGTACATAATATTTAAACCTACTTTGTACGACGAGAATCGCAGTTTTTTCCTCCTCTCCTAGAATATTTCGCGCTAAGCATTTGTATTCTCCTGCCTCTTCCATCCGAACACTAGCGATTTGCATCTGACCATTTGACGTCACTTTAGTCCTGTTGCTAGGTAATGATCTATTGACCTTTGACCAGAATATTTGAGCTGCTGGATTTCCCGAAACGGAGCATAAGAACGAGGCTGTGTTGGTTTCGTTGACAGTTAGTTTCGGTGGAGAAATCGTTACTTTTGGCTTTGAAATAGATTCACCTGGTTCACCTTTAGTCCCTGGGATACCAGGGATACCCGGTGGCCCAATGTCTCCTTTTATTCCTTTTTCTCCCCTAATTCCCGTTGGCCCCATGATTCCTTGTTTTCCACTTCTTCCTGGTGGTCCCATGATTCCCTGAGCACCTTTTCTTCCTTTCCTCCCCCTGTCACCTTTGGGTCCAGCTCTCCCCGGAGGTCCCGGCCGCCCACGGGGACACACATTCAAATTGCCTTTGTTGCTGCAAATCTTCCATGTAGAAGAAATGATGTCTTCCATCATTTCTCTTATCTTTGCTGAGTTGTTGAAAGGAGGCGGATGTGAAATACTACGCTTCAGACGAAGGGTTTCCGGCTGACTGGAGGTAGGGGGTACTACTAAAATGTAACAAGTAAAGGAAGAGAGTAACTTAAAATGGCACTCCAGTACCTTTTTCAATAAAAAAAGAGAAAAACTATGATAATCTATTCTTTTTTCTCGCGATTTTGATCACCATTTTCTCCCTAAGTAATGTGTTTGTATGATGGAGATTAAGAGTGGGGGGGGGGGGGGTAGGGTGGGGTGGGAGGACAAACCACAATTATTTTCGAGACGGGGAGCGGAATACGCGAATATGGATGCACTGTTGTCTTCAATTTTTAATTTTGCCTGAGGATAGCTGGAAGAATGTTTTTAATCACTAAAAGCACTATGAATGCAGTTTAATCCCTCGACAAATATTTCCTTTTTCGCCGCTGGGTACGGTCTCAAATAGGCAAAATGCCCGGCAGCCAGAAATGTTCACGGAATTTCTACCGAAAGGTTCTTTCAAACTTCTTAAGAATATCACACGTTTGCTTAGAAATGTCAAGCGATTCCAAAAATCAATTTGGCTTTTTTAGTTGACAAATTCTCTAGGCTTGAGCTTACTTTAATATCGCTTGGTTGTTGACACCGGCTTAGAAGTTATACGCTTCTGATCACACTGGCGGGCACGGTCTCGAATGAACTAAACGCGCGGCAGTTGGTATATTTCACTGGAGTATCTCTGAAAGGTTCCTTGAAACTTCTAGAGAGTATTCAGTATAAGAGTAATGGGGTTAAAAACTCAACTCGCTAACTGGGCTGAAATTTCCTATGTGATAAAATTTCAAAATAGGTGCTGCTAATCGATTCTTGAACTCATGTGAAGAGATCCTCTAACCATTTCAAATATTTTATTTAAAATATTGGAAAGCCAAGGAATGATGAAAGCGGCTTGTTTGATTGTTTGTTTTTTCTTCGAATACATAATAAATACTCTCCATTACCATCATTTCTGGCTAACGTGTAATATGAACATTTTGCGAGTTTTAATTTTTGCGGATTGTTCTCGACGAATCATTAAACAAATTCTCGTAGGCGAGTCGAAGATAGTTTCAGTTAGAATACATGCGAGGTCAAGCTGTCAGCGAAGTCCGGTTAGTCCACTTTGCGATGAATTCAACATTCGTAGTCAAAGATAACAACGCCAGGAAAAGTCGAAATAATGAGAAACTTTGCCAGTCGTTCTTTATTTGGCTCGCATTCTGAGCGATGATTTGACAATGATAGAATGAAGAAATGAAACTACAAGATATTAGTTCGATTAAATGGAAAGAGACAAAAGTGGCGCATCCAGGAGTTTTCGACGGAAAGGGGAGAGGCGATGAAACGTGACTATGACCTCGCTAGTACATTCGATCAAGAAGATTTAAGTCTGTAAAGGGTTTAGGTAATTTGCAACTTAAAGTCATCTTACATAAATCAGTTTGAAGAAGCATGTCTCGCAACAATCAAGACAACCATGAACGTAAATTACAGACAGTTTTTGACTTCACCTTGTTCAGCCGAATGTAAATCTGTCCTTGCCTGTTCCATTTTATCTTGAGGCATGAATTCCTCCACAGTCCTCAACCTCCGTTCATAGTCATTGAACTTTGTCTCGATTCGAATGAATCCAGCGGAGTAAAGAAACAAACAGAAAACAGACAGAGCCGTTCCAGGGCTCACTGGAAAAGAACGATCTTTGAGAGACATCACGAAAACTAGATGATCGAACTCGAAAGCAACTTGTTATGGCATATTCCTGATACTTGACCCTTTAAAATTTGATAGCACTTTCAGCTCAGAAGGTTTAGTCACGCAACCCTATCAGGTAGCTGAAAAAAATAAGCAAAGCTCGTCATGTTGGCGGAAATGAGAAACACATCCAAGAAAGGCTAGATGATCGAAGGTGGTCAAACGCAACTCACTTTTTTCTAAGTGTTCCAATAGCTCTAAAATGGCTTTCAGTTCGAGCGAGAAACAGGGAAACTTAACGATGAGAACCAGGAAGAAATTTTAGAACAAGATGCGAGAAGGCAAATAGACAGACACGTGCACAAGTTTTTGTTACCTGCGGTTGTGTTAAATTCAAGGATACAATAATTGAATCTCATCCCATCAGCTTGCACCCTGAAAGTATATCGATACTTAGTATAGCATTAGCTATACTAACTCCAACAAAATGTTTGTTTCCACGTTTTTGAAACATTCTACATAGCAAACGTGACCTTAAAACCACCCATAATGCCATTAGGGGTTGTGCACTTTTATGCTTTTGTTTTTTTTGTGTGCAACCTTCCTGCAAACTGCTGTATGCATTCTTGTTTTAGCAGGTCATCCAGCTCAAGGATCAGCGAATTCCTTGATTATGATATTGCTTTTGTTTTGAAAATATTTTTCGATTTTTTTTTTCTCGACAATATTACTGTACAGGACATAATCATACAGAGTAATTTAGTATTATGAACCGAGTTGATTACGCAAATTAGCCGTTGTAAAGAGTTCAAAAGCTGACGCTTAGAGCGTTAGCTCTTTGTCAGAGTGATTGATTAAGGCTAACGCTCGGATGAAGGGTTATTGCTCGAAACGTCAGCTTTTAAACTCGCTACGGTGGACAATTTACATTATCAACTCGGTTCATAATACTAAACTACCCTGTTATGCTATTCCACCGATGCACAAGGTTATTTGGCATGTACAAGACCCTTCTAATCCAGTGTCCCAATCCTCGAAATTCAGATTTATTTGTTTTCTGTTTATGAGTTTAAGAGGTCCTTGCTAGACATTCTGTTGTTCTTTCACAAAAACAATCAGCACTTTTCTCTCAGAAATTCCATCTCCGAAAAAAGTCTCATCCCCCCTTGCTTTCTTTTTTTTAATGACTACGTGTAAATAAAAAAAAAATTATTTTGCTTATTTTCTACAATTGTCTTTGTTGTTGTTGTCTTGTTCGTTTGTTTACGTTTCATTTATTTCTGCGGTCTGAATAGCATGGCCTCATGATCCATACCTTGTGTTATTGGGGCAGTTTTATGTCAATATGTGCTGGTTGATTAATGAATAGTTTTTTTTTTTGTCAATTTAGCCGCACATATATTTCAACCCTTAAACAAGGATGAGTGTGATACGTGACAGGATAGAACCGAACGTATCTGGCCTTGACGTCAGTACTGAGTGGATGTTTCACAATGGTGTTTCTGTCTGAATTTCCTTGGAAAACCTAAAAATAAAATAACTGTAAATAATGCGAGTTTTAGAGCACAGGAGAGGGAGAGAATGTGAAGAATCATTGACTCAGAGCGCTAAATATTAAAGGCAAGAAAGCACATTTGAGCTGTGGCTCAATAGACTCGGAAAATAGTAGTTCGAGACATGAACGTTCAAAAAATTCAACAGTTGAAGAATATGCGTGTCTTACACCAAAGTGAATAATTGACTTCTATAAGGCATCACGCAAAGGCTGATATAAGACAATGCACCGTTCGTTCATCACCTTTTTAACGAGGAAACAATCAAACAAACAAACAAACAAAAATATATCTATATTCATGTATACAGTCAGATCTGTTAAATGAGTACTTCTCATAGTGTTGATTGTCAAATCTTATGGACGCCCTACAACTAAAGTGAATAACTGACTACTGCCCTCAGATGTGCAACATGACTCACATCAGTTTCAGGGGGAGTAGTGCCGAATTGAAACTCTGCTGTAAAAGCCTAACGGGATAAATGTTCAAATTCACCAACTAAGTTTATGAGCCAATACTTTGTATTTACTTCAAACTTTTTCATAACTGTTAATATCAGTTGCAGTTTCATCCGCATTCTTCCAATATTTGTCTCCTTATAAATGTTCCAAGTTATATATACCGCCTGTGGACAGGTGTAGTTTATAGCTAGCGGTCTAGGAAAATTCGTCATACACAAGCTTATAATCTCCGACGGCGTTCTCTGCTACAATAGCCAATGAAGCTAAGTATCCAAATTCACTACCTAGGTATATTTCTGTTCGCTAATTATTTGTATGACTTCAAACTCCTAATTCCTGAAAACGTCAATTACGTACAGTTCTCTCCGTACCTTTTCAATATTCGTTTCCCTGTAAGTGTTCCAAGTTGTACCGTTTGTAGATAACTGTAGTTTGTAGCTGGTGGTCCATGCAGAGCCCCTCAGTAATCCTTGTGTGGCCACACCACAAAGAAAACGCACTTCACCCATATCAACTTGAAGATAGTCTGTTCTGTCAGATCTAGTTTTAGGGCACCACCCTCCATGGCCACTGCTTTCATTGAGTCGGCTGTAGTAGGGAGGAGTATAATTACTGTAAAAACTGCTCGCTGTCATTCTGGCGTCTGGTATTCTGTTCCTGTCCACCACACCAATAGGCTCACACACTAAGTAAAAACAGGTGACACAATCATTCTAGTTTTTTATTCCATCTTATGGCCTCGCATCCGCAATAAAATTTCCAAATTTCCAAGCGGAATTCATAATCAGAGTCAAGTGAAGGGTTATCTATTACTCATCATGGAGAATTGCATTCAAAAGATAATGGATACGTCAGTCAGCTGTATCCACTAAGTTTTCCCTACTTGATTGATGAATGCAAAATCAAAACCTTTTTAATACACGTTTTAATGAAATAGACAAAAATAACTGGATTTTGGAGAGTGTTCTCACATCATGAATTATTCGTTTTGCCTTGTCTCTCATTTTGTCCTCGTTTTTGATTTTGTATTTATCAATCAAGTACGGAAAACTAAGTGAATCCAGCTGATTGACGTCTCCATTATTTTTTGCATGCAATTCTTTATGACGAAAAGTAGATAATCCTTCACTTGACTCTGATTATGAATTCCGCTCGAAACGAAATCTTACTTGAATATTCAGTCACTGTCACATGTCACATTCAGCTCTCTAGATTTATTTTATTTAATGTGCAGAAAAAAAGATCACTACCCAATGAAAAGTTACCGAGGCAAACCACTTCTTACCAACAGTCAGTTGCATTAAAGACCTTTTGAACAATTGCGCTGATATGGCTATACAGATATATATTCCCGAGTCTTCATCTTTAATATTCCATATCTGAAGTGTTCCTTCCGGACTGACTTGTGATCTTCCAACTGGCAGCTGGCTGTTCTCTCTCACCCACATGATTTTTGGTTTGGGGTCACCAGCAGCTTGACATGAGACTGAAATATTTTGTTCTTGTCTAACATTGAGCTGAGCAGGAGGATTTGATGTGAATCGTGGCAGCTCCAAAACACTTAGAAGTGTCAAAGCTGAGTCGTCACCCAAATCATTTGACGCTTTGCATTCGTACAAACCAGAATCTCTCTTTTGAGCACTGATAATCGACAGCTGTCCGTCTTCCACAACAGTTCTGGAATATGCAAGTTCACCGCGCACTCTAGACCACGTTATGACGGCTGGAGGAAAACTGGTCACGTGACATTTTGGTAGCGTGATGTTCTTGCCTTTTTCAAAATAAGTGGGCCCAGGGGAGAGTGAGATATTTGGTTTATCTGTAGGATATTTGGAAAAATAATTATGCATAATGGAAATAACTGCCATTGCATCCGTGGATCTCATACAAAGACGAGGCTCATCTTTAGAACTAAAAATTCCTTCAATTCAAATTATCTTTGAAACAACGTTTAGCTTTTTCTTTGGTCAGCGTATTACAGTGGAATCCTGTTTTCATGGGACATCCTCGGAACCAAAAAAATTGTCTCTTTTATCAGTCAGGACTAAAAATTCTGTGTCCCTCAATCGTAAAGAAAGGTGAAAAAATCGGAATAACGAGATTTGATCTTCGAGTTATAGAGTCGTAGCAATAATAAAAGATGGTTTATCATATGCCCCCTACAGCCCCGCGCGCACAACCCCCAGAAAACCATGGTAAAAGCGGACGTGTGTAGGGCCGTGTACATTACTCGAGCCAGATATTTTCCCGTTCAGCCTTCCCACTCAGTCAAAAAGTACATAATACTTAAACCTACTTTGTACGACGAGAATCGCAGTTTTTTCCTCCTCTCCCAGAATATTTCGCGCTAAGCATTTGTACTCGCCTGCCTCTTCCATCCGAACACTAACGATCTGCATCTGACCATTTGACGTCACTTTAGTCTTATTGCTAGGTGACGATCCATTGACCTTTGACCAGAATATTTGAGCTGCTGGATTTCCCGAAACAGAGCATAAGAACGAGGCTGTGTTGGTTTCGTTGATAATTAGTTTCGGTGGAGAAATTGTTACTTTCGGCTTTGAAATGGATTCGCCTGGTTCACCTTTAGTCCCTGGGATACCAGGGATACCCGGTGGCCCGATGTCTCCTTTTATTCCTTTCTCTCCTCTTATTCCTGGTGGTCCCATGACTCCTTGTTTTCCGCTTCTTCCTGGTGGTCCCATGAGTCCCTGGGATCCTTTTCTTCCTTTCCTCCCCCTGTCACCTTTTGGTCCAGCTCTCCCCGGAGGTCCCGGCCGCCCACGGGGACATACGTTCAAATTGCCTTTGTTGCTGCAAATTGCCTTTGTTTCCTTCCATGTAAAAGAAATGGTGTCTTGCATCATCTCTCTTATCTTTGCTGAGTTGTTGAAAGGAGGCGGATGTGAAATACTACGCTTCAGACGGAAGGTTTGCGGTTGCCTGGAGGTGATGGGTACTACTCAAAATGTATCAAATAAAGGAAGAAAGTAACTTAAAATGGCATTTTTACTGCCCTCTTCAGAAAAAAAAACCAAACAATAAACTACAATGATTTATTCTTTTTTTCTCGCAATTTTGATCACCAATTTCTTTCTAAGTAGTGGTGTGTGTGTGTGTGTGTGTGTGTGTGTGTGTGGTGTGTGTGTGTGTGTGTGTGTGTGTGTGTGTGTGTGTGTGTGTGTGTGTGTGTGTGTGTGTGTGTGTGTGTGTGTGTGTGTGT